TCATTTATTATTCTTAATGATTGTTTCCTAGGTACTTTATTTCTTTCGTACATACTTTTTGTTATTTTTTTTTTTGTTATTTTGCGCGTCGATTATTTCCCAAAGTTAGAAATTGTGTACAAGCTGGTTGCTACGTACATGGCGCTTGGAGGATCCTACGTATAGTCTTTTCTATATCATTTTCAATTCAGAATTAGTCGTTGCGGTGTCGTTCAGAAAAAGGAAAGAAATTTCTCGACGGAAATTTCTCATACGTTGATCACACAAGGGCCAAATAGAATAACCTTTTGACCCTCGGCTTACGTCATAACCTTTTCTAGATATTAACTTTCTCTGTTCATTATCATTTCTAATCGCACGCCCCTTTTTTTTTTTATCGTCTCGATGAGTCGACATTAATTAGCCAGTGCTGTTAAAAAACATATTGAAATTTGTCCGAGCAGGAAGGTTTTCTTTTTGGTCGTTAGCCGAAATATTATGGCCTCTTCTTCTTGATGAAAAGAAAGTTTGCATATGTTTTCATTAATCTTCCTTTCTTTCTTACTCTTACTCTTTCTAGATTATTTTTTTGTTTGTTCTTTTGTCACCAGTGGATATAGTTTTAGTATTATTTTTGATATTTATCTCTAAATCGATTTCTATTTCATCTACTTTTCTATTCTCACTTTTTTTCCCCCTTTTACATTTTTTTTCTTCTATTTCTTTTTGGTACGCCGAGAGGGTATCGTTTTTGAGATAAAAAACTGCACTCATTGGCGTGGGTCCTTGGTCGACGACGTATGGTTGTTTGTGCGACATTACGAGACGAGGGGCAATAGAAACAGTCACCTCGCTCGCCGATCGACAATAGGGTCGCATTTGAAAATTGTTTATAGCGATAACTAATAATATCGGTGTGTAATAGTAGCAAATAGAGTTGATGAATTATAACTAGTTTTTTTTTTTAAATGTGATAACTGATAACGAAAAACGAGAAATCGAGAATGCGAAGATACATTTCATTTTTTATATTGTTTTCTCGTATTCAGGAATGGACATAAATACCATTTGATTTGAACATGTGTTTTAATTCTTATTAAATGATTCCTTTCACTTTAACGTAATTCATCGTTATTTATCGTGAACGATTTTCATATATTCGATAGAATCCAACATAATTCTTATTTTTCGAATTCCCGATGTCTCGCAGACAAGATAATATGGGGTAACGATTATTACTTTTTTTTTTATTCTTCTTCTTCTTTTTTCTTTTACTAATAAATGCAAATATTCTCAAAATTCCGTATGACAATCGTTAGCGTATTTTAAAGATTTCGTTCCATTGGTTGGTTGGGCTACCGATCGTGAAATTTGTTTATAGAAACCATTCTAAAAGAAAAGAAAATTTTAGAAACAAGGCCGATAACAATCGAACTGATTTAAACAAAAATTCCATTTTAATGATTATTTCATTTGCCTAAGAAAACGTGTGAAAGCCAGAATTGGAATTATACAATATTATTTATCTCTTCTTTTTTTAGGTATGCTAAACTGATAACATAATAATAATAATAATAATAATAATAATAATAATAATAATAATATTAATAATAATAATAATAACAATAATGACAATAATAGTAATAGTAATAGTAATATAGTAATAATAATTATAATAATAATAATAAAAATAGTTTTATCTAATGATGGTGATGATGAAAATGACGATGACAGTGGCAATATAAAAGTAAGTATAACGTTAGCGTTACCTAACAAAAGTTGTAGCAGTAAGTGTAATAGTACTAATAAAATAATAGTAGTGATGGTAGTGTCGACACTACGAGTTGTTATAGACGAGATAGTTATGCCACCCGTGCAAACATGTGTTCGTTAAGACATTAGAAATTCGTTAGACAACATGCGTACATATATATATATATATTTATATATATGCATATATAAACATGCATAGATAAAAAACACAAGATAAAGAAAAAGAATTTGTTGTGTTATCTAACGAAAATTATTTTATAATGTATATATGTCAGAAAAGATAATGAATCTATAAATAAACGTTCTTGTTCGATGAAACAATGAAATTTATGCTGAAGCGTCTCTCTCTCTCTCTTTCTCTCATCCTACTAAAGAATAGTAACTAAAGAACCGTAGTTTAGTATACGTGTAAATTAAATCGATTTACTTAAAACTATACGCGATAGAAATAAGATCGCGTGTTTCAAATGTATTATATAATTAATTATTTAATAAACAATAAATCGATTGAAGATTATGAATAACAAGGGCAGTAGAACTAATTAATTAATCAATTAATAAATTTATATTATTATTTTTAAATATCTCTAGCTTGCTTAATCCTTTTTTTTTTTTTTTTTTTTAAACCAATTCTGACTAGCAAACATATGTGTAACTTGACGAGATCGTTCACGTAATACCCCGTTCCTCGTTTGACTTTTCGACGGTCCTTTGATTTGATTTGTGATTTCATTATTATTATTATTATTTTCTTTTTCATTTTCCTTTATTTCATTTATTTTATTCATTAATTTCTTTCAAATATATAAGAGATAAAACATATAATAGGAACTTAACGTTTAGAACCAAAAGTAAAATAATCAAATGAAGTTTAACGCGGTGGGATGTGAACGAAAACGTTCGAAAAGTAATCGAAGAGTACGCATGAACGAAAATCAAGTAAATCTTATATTATTTGATTATTATAATTCGTGATTTTTTCTTTTTTTTAATTTTTTCGAAAATTTAACTTCATCACCGAGATTTCATTACTAAAGTAATTGATGTAAGATTAACGGAAAGAAAAAAAGCTTACGGTACTCTTCGATTTTCGACGAATAAAATAAAGTTGGTATACATAAACGAAGATAAGAAGGAACGTATCAGACATTTTCGATGCGTCTTTATCGTTATCGACTAAAAGACAAAGAAAGAGACTTGTAAGTAAGCAAATGACGTTAGGAAAAGAAGGAAAACGCAAGTAAAAATGGTTTCTCTCCTTATCTGCCATTTTGAAATAGTGAACAATTTCTTCCTTTTTTGTTTTTGCCTCTGTTGCTTCGAGAAAGTATTTCGAGAAAAAAAATATTAATATATATTCTTTTTTTTTTTATTTAAAAGAAACTACGAAAAATATTTTGTAAATTTTTACAAAACGTGAATTAGAAGTATCATTCAAACGTAGGATTTAAACAAAGTAAAGTAAATCATGAACGAACGTCATTAGAAATAAACTCATGTTTGCATTCGTATTATCTAACATTGCGTTTTTTAAAATATCATTTTTCGTTGCGAACAAAAAGATAATTAGCAAAAATGATCGACGAACATTCGAACGAAAAATCAAACACGAGGAACGCGCGTCTTCTTTTCTTTTCTTTGCGTTCTTCACCTAGTGAGACCAAACGCGGGTTTTACTTCACTTTACATAAATATTTTTGTTGCCTAAATATAATAATATGTATAATAATAATAATAAAAATAATAATAATAATAATAAAAAAAAAAAAATGCGGAGCGTTTGAGATTTTAGAATGACGTGCTTCAGGTAATCTGAGGTCCTGTGATCGTTATAAGCGAAATATTTTTTTATTTCCGGGTAATATATCTGAACGCGTAAAGCACTTGCGTCGTTTCGANTAATAATAATAATAATATTTAACAAGCATTACTATGTGTACGTATATAAATGTACGTGTGTATGAGTGTAATTACTAGATATAAAAAGGAAAAGATAAAAAAAAAAATAAAGGAAAAGAAAACAGAAAGAACAAACGTAAAAAAAATAGATGACAAAAAGAAAGAAGCGTCTCAAAAAAAAAAAAAAGAAAAGATTGTGGCCTTTGTGCTTCCTTCGCCATCGCATCTCTCATCAGTATTATTTGTTTTCTTAAATGTTACGCATATATAAAAAGGATCTAACATAAAAAATATTCATATATTATCATATATTATGGCTTCGACGATTCGGGAGAATTTTCACCTAGCCCTCATTCTTTCTTTTTTTTTTTTTCTTTTTTTTTATTCCTATCTCTCTTTCTTTCTTTCTTTTATATATACTCTCTGTAAAATACGCTTCCAATTGCCCCCAGCAATGTTTATAATAATTATTAATACAACTAATAAATCGTAATGATATTTGTAATGATAATGATAATAGTAGTAATAGCAATAATTGTAAGGATTAACCGCGGTATCGAATAGCTTGGTTCGCAAGACTGAGGCCCAATTATTTTCCAAGTCGTGATTAGATTTTCATGATTGATTCGGAAAAAAAAGAGGAGGCCTCTGCTTCGTGGACCTTGGCTTAAAAGCGAATGGGGTAGGTCGTTGGGGGGTGGTGGTGGTTGGGGTTGGGGGAAAGATTTACGGTTGCGATTCGGTAGCAAAAGAATAATTGAAATACGCGACGGAACAACGATCGAAGCTTCTCGAAAGATTCATTCGCACCGTACATCCATTTTTTTGCAAATTTTTCTTTTTTTTATTCTTTTTCGAAAAGAGTGTCGTACTTTTTTTTTGTTTTTGTTTTTTGTTCATACAATGGAGATCGACCGTGTCATGGCCGACGTGTGATGTACAACGAAAAGAGGCTATGTTTTGTCAACAACGCGCGGATATTCTTTCGGGTACGGTCCCGCTAGGCCGTGTAGTTTTGAAATCGGCCAATTAATTCATTCATTCCTTTTGCTTTTATCTTTTGTATCCTTAGGTCTTATTTTTCGTTTCATCATCTTACAATTATTCTCAGTCCTCCTCCCGTGCATTACATTGCCCGATTTTTCTCCTTCCCATTTTTCCTTTCATTTTGTTCAGTTTTATAGCATATGCTAAAATAAGTACCGATTTTTTTCCGCTCGAGCTTAACTCGCTGCGCGGCTTTGTACCTTTTTTTGACTAGAATCGAATTTCCAACGGGAGGCTTTCTGACTTTTTCTTCCTTCCTTTCTTTCTTTCTATCTACATATTTATATCTTTCTTCCACTTTGTATTTCTATATCTTGAATGATTTACGGCGAGCCAGCGGGACCGGAAGTGCGTCGGTGTGTTTGCCCAAAAGGGGACTTCGACCAAACTCAATCGATACCATTAAAGTTGCGTGCGTCCGTTTGCCTTGCCAAATCAATTGAAATTTAAAACGATTCCGTATGGTGAGAATCGTTGATAATCATGAAAGGCACGACAAGCGAAGCGTCACCGAAATAAACGATAATATGCGCTGTATTACACGGTAACTAACTGTACATAAAAGTTTTCAAAATATTTAACTCAACGTTCGCACCTTTTCGATCGTCGTGGTTCAGGCATGTCTCCTCCCTCTCTCTTCTCTTCTCTCTAACGCATACCAAATTCATACCAATTCAATCTTTTTTTTAATTATTATCTCCAATATTTTTCATTAAATTTTTGTGAAAATAAAATAAAAGAATTTTATTCTACGAATTCATCGAATCGAAAAATATATCATTTTTGATTTGCTAATTTGTGAGAAAAATCATTTAGTATTATTATTTATAATAAAATTTGTATTTAAACGAGGAGACGTGCCTAAAACGGTGATCACGTAATCGAGACATCGCGAACGAACTTGAAACAACGCGTACGTGTGAAACTGAGGAGGATTGGTGTGTCGAGGGGATGTCATCCTTTCGAAGAATATGAGCGGATGATTTTTAGGTGGCCAGTGGGGGGTGGGTGGTGGGGTTTATTTTGTGTTGAAAATAACGCCGTAAGTGAAATAACTCAAGGCTGCACTGGAAAGATCAATTGAAATAACCACAGGAGAGAACCTGAACGCGCGTTATCACTTATCCGATCGTTCGTGCTCTCGACGAGAGGGAAACACGTAGACTACATACGCGAGAGTTAAGTGATTCGCGCGTTCGGGCACCCCCTTATCCGGGTCCGAGTCCCAAAGTCCTATTTCTTCCTATCCGTAGTGAGTGCCTACGCGATTTATTTAATAAGTAATGAGCGATACTGTGCGATCGCTTGATCCTTACATACTCTTGAGTACGGATGTTCTATGTTTTTTGTGTTATATCATATTCCTCCTGTATCCTCGTGCGTTAGTGTCTTTGTGTGTTTATATTACACGTATATAGATACGCAAAGCTTTCACGTAACTGGACGTGTTAATGTGTATTGTGTATATGTATGTATGCAAGTGTATACGTATGCATTCTGCTTAACTGTTAATTAAGTCGACTTGACAAATGGTTACGGTACTGTTATTAATTAATCATATTGATTGGTTAAATATGGCTCCACCGTGCAATCGTCTTTCAACTCGCTTTATCTTTTCTTTCTCTCTCTCTCTCTCTCTCTCTCTCTCTATCCTCTCTCTCTCTCTTTCTCTCGCTCTCTCTCCTTCCTATCTTGTCTATAAACTATATAAAACTTGTCCTTTTCTTGTCCTTTATCAATCCTATTTCTTTCCCTTCCTTTCCTCTATTGGAGTATACAATGTACACGTTGGCTAAACTACGGACACTTAGTACACTTATTATCATATTTATCTGTTAAATGCTGATTGTATCTCTGATCTCGCGGACGGTGGATGGCGTCGAAACGACGGATTCGGTAGGACGGGTAAATGGGAGGGTCTTGGAATTATTTTTCTTTTCGATCTAAAATTTTCGATCCATCCGTCATTTTTTGTTTAGAAAATTACTGAATTGAATCGACTTGCTTCACGAATTTTGAATTCATCATGACGATTAAGGGTAAGAGGTGAAATTGGCGGGAAGGGAACTCCACGCGAAATGAATCCGGTGTTTCCGGTCGTTCCACTGCACGGTGGCGTACGACGATACTGTAGACACTGAAAAAGACCACGTGCTTCCTGTATACTTACTTAGTTAATTGTTTACTGCGGTATACTGTAATTACTGTTCTACCATAACACTACTAATTGTGAGTTATACTTGAAAACGTTCGTTTAATGTAACGGAAAACCCTGACGAAGGCACCCACTCAACGGACGGTTATTTGTCATCATCGATTTCATTTTATATGCCCTATTATATATAAATTAATTTGTTATTAATTTTGTTCTATCTTCACAACATTCATTTTCTAATTAATTCTATCCTAATCATATTATTTTCCGATCGGACTCGGTCTTTCACCTCGGATACGAATAGAGAGGGTTTACTAAGGGATACAAGGGAGAAAAAACACATTCTCGTTAACAAAAACTTGGAGAATATTTTGAAAAAGAGTATCGCCCGTCACGAAGGCACCGCGTTTGCCAGAATCACGAGGCCTTCAGTGACGGACCAACGCGATGGCTCCGGACACTCGTCATCGTCGAGAATCGCTGTTGTTATTCGTCCGAATGAAAGGCAGTTGCCACTCCTTTGGATGTTACTTTTTGCTAACTTTTTTCCGCGCGATCTGATACGATTCTTATCCGTCCTATACAGTGAGTGGAATTTTTGGTCATTTCATTTCGCGAAATATATGATTATATTTTTGGAATATAAATATTAATATTTTATCTAAATTGATTAATTTTCGACATAGCTCACCGGTCTCCAAGAATTTTCCCCAAAATTTGTCGATTTTTAATCCCGTTATTCGAAAATGTATATACCAAATTGCCCTCGAATTGATTGGATAGTTTTAGATTGGTTTTTTTGTTTTCTTTTTTTTAGAATAATATAAAGTCGAAATTATAAGGACGGACTTGTTCGGTCATCGACGATATCGAGGTTGGAACCATCACCTTCTAACGACTATGGCTCTTCATTTATATAGTGGACATTGAAACAACTTATTCCGGTTTTTAATCACGGAGGCTCGGCTAAGATCACCGCGTGAAGACGCGAATGCTGCCGAGGCGCTCGCACTGCTAGACTGTCGGTTTTATCATTATGCTGCGCACTTACGATACACACTGCCACGAATATACACATACGTCATTCGCCCTTTTTTTCCGATTAGAAATCAGCGATCTCGATCGTACGCGATATTCGTCGTGAGATTATTTCATTAAAAAATTAAAACCCGATCGAAAACAAACCAACGGTTTTTGCTTGTAAAGCCGTACTCGAACAACGGCTCCTACAACGCCGCTGCCACTTCCTAGGTCGTCTTATTTAATAGCGCCTTTCTTCTCCTTCGACTTCTTCATCATCTTCATCTCTTCTCTCTCATCATCATCATTATTTTTTTTTTCTTTTTTTTTTATTATTATTATATCGTGGAACAGACGCTTGCGCGGTTACCGAGGTGCCGTAAGTTTCTTTCCTGACGATCATTTCATTCTTTTCTTTCTTTATTTATTTCTTTCTTTCTTTCTTTCTTCTTCCGTCATTTTATACCGTCCCTTCGTATTTTGACTCATCATCGGACTACTTTTGCGGTACCTCATCGTCTGTCCATCGCCAGGATCGAACTTCCACAAGGGAGAGTTCGTTCGTATCATTGCCGGGTTTTCTTTAGTCAAGTCCGGGAGACTATGGAGATCGCACGGGATTCCGTGGAAGCTCATTCATCATCGGTTCTGCATCCAAACGTATGCCAAAGGCCGCGAATGTTTTCTTACAGATTCATTATTTCTTTCTATTATCCAAATCTTTAGCTTTGTTTTGTTTTTTTTTTCTTTTTTCTTTTTTTTCTTTTTTTGCTGAAGTCACCATGAAGTTTTTTTTCATTGGTGATATTATTGTTCCTTTCCACCTGGAAGGACGGTTCGATTCAAAATAATAGATCCTCCAACGATCCATTCCAGACGGATCGGTGCGAGATTTAATCGAATTGTCGCATGAAAATACGTGTGTAGATATTATATATATATACTACATAATGTAGGGCCGAATATGCGTTTAATTGTGCTGCTTCGTAGAACTTTCTTCTTTAATAATGATTTTTCGTTGATCACTTTTGCATTTAAAAAACTCATATGAAAAATTTCCTTTTTTGGGCAATTTACAAAATCAATTGGCTTTACATATCCGTAGCATGTGTATTTATAGTGTATACGAAGTGTAATTAGAGTGTAATAGTGTGTTCGAGCGTGTAATAAGAGTGACTTTATGTGTACAGGGCTCTCCTTATCAATTGCTGCGTGTGTATTTGTGTCCGATGTATTCGGTTAATTGCTCGTGTTTCTCTATTGCTGTAATTGTAATCTGTATCTGTTGTAAATTGTTCCTTGTCGAGAATACCAATTCTACCGCGGGCGTCCCCATTGATTGACTTAGGTGTCGCTCACCTAAGAGACATCGTTCGCATTAGAGACGTTACCGAGGATTTTTGCGTTTATTCGTTAGGTCGAGTCGTATTTGTAGTGTGTATGCGCTGGGAGTATGCACCAGCGCATCCGGGCTATGGCAAGTTTTAGATTATTTAAACATTTAGCAAATTTACATGAAAGAGATTAAGATTATGGTTAGGGTCGGTTTTGCAGGGTCTACGCGTCGGACACGCCACTTTCATTTATATATATATATATATATTCACTTGTCTCTCTCTCTCTCTTCCTTTATCTTTCTCTATTTCTTTGTATGATAATGGGGCCATCTCCATCTCATTGTCCTAAACTAGAATAAGTCTAGTTGACTCACACGCGGGTCGTTATGACCTTTGTGGTTCGTACTCTCTCCCATTCTCCGTTTCTTTATGCTTTTCGAAGATTCCTATTTTCCGACTGACCCGAGTTCGATGGGTTCATCGGTGACCCAAGTACGAGCAAACAAGAGAGAAGATTTTTGGCCTATATTACGGGAAAGAATGGGGAGGAAGAGAGAGCTCTTTAAAAAGGGGCTGAACTTTCGCGAGCGTTACGCCACCGACCCGCTTATTAGTTACGGGCATATGTAAATCAATATATTTGTAAATTATTTTTTTGTGCTTTTTTTTAGCGGCACGCACTTCCCACCGCTTGGTGAAAGGGTGGTCGGTAACGTGCGCGCTTATTTTTATCATTTATCTGCGCTTATTCCTGCTTTGATTACAGAACATACACTACTAGAGCTATTGTAATGTTGTGTGCTTTTCATTGTGTTTTTTTAGCTTTTTCTTTCGCGTTATTATTATTAGCGTTTATTTATTTACTTTTTTTTTTTTTTTGCGTTAATTCTTATTATTTTCATTTAATTTAAAATTATGATACAACGTTCGCGGGGCACGGGCCGGCGCCTCGGGAATTCCTCCTTCTCGCGCGGAGATTGATACTTTTATTATGATTCTTTTTTCTTTCTCACTCCGTCTCTCTATTATTTTTGTTGAAAGGGGGGTGTTTGAAGGGGTAGGGGAGGTGTGGATGTCAAGTTCACGGTGGGAAAAAGGGTAGGTGGGTTGCGGGGAAAATTTCAATTGGCTGCCCCGATCGAATGTGTGTGTGCTTTTCTCTAACTTCTATTTTTTTTCTTTCACGTTACTTTTGCATTCGACATGAAAAAGCAACCCTCGGCGCACGGCAGGATGCACCGTTCTTTTTTTTCTTTTTTTTTTCTGTTAACTTTTTGTTGAAAAATTCTCGTCTGTCAATCGTTTCATGGGTCGTTGCACGTGCTCGCGTCCATGAAGGATTTCGACGTGGGTGGTTAGAGTGATATAGTGTTTTTTTGTATTGTTACTGTTGTTCTATTTCTTTTGTGATGGTTATGATGGTGATAAATGGTACTGCTGTTTTTTTTTTCTTTTTCTTTTTGTTTTATCGATCTTCTTTGTCTTTTCTAACCTTTTTGTATCGTTTCGAAAGCTTTTCATATTATTTTTTCGTTTTTTTTCTTTCTTTTTCCTCTCCTGCACTCTTATCGGTATAATTACGTGCACCCGTTATAGTTTTTTTTCTTCGCGGATTTTTCTTAGGGACCGTAAAAATCAAGATTTGTGCCGTTCTTTTTATTATTTTGTGTTTTTTTTGTTTTTTTTTTTTTCTCTAAATGACTTATAATTCTTGGCATTTTTCGGTCAATGATTTGAGTTTCTTTTTATTATTCGTTATAGATATATTTTTGGTATGAAAGCAAAGTCATTGAAAAAATTTTCCGAAAGAATCGTATTTTTCATTTTTATTAAGCTTTTTTAATCCTGTTTTGTTTTCCTAAACCTCAACTTTGTGCCCTCGAAGCTAAGTTCGTTCGCACTCTCGTCCATGCACATTCGTTTCACCCTTTCAACGATTTCGCAATCGTAAGTTATGTTCGAAGGAAGCATAACTTAGCGATCCGAAAAACATCCACCAAAAATCTTTCATACTGATCAACAACCATCGCTCTCTTTCTCCCTGATTTTAATTTCCTATCATTATTAATGAGCTAACGTTTCGTTACGATACGTGCATGACAGGGGAGGTTTTTCAAAAATAATTCGCGATCTTCGCTTCTCATTTAAATATAAAACTGCGTTAGGGTTTGCTTTCGTTTGTATCTTATCTAAACAGTCGATCCGATTATCTTTATCGATGGCAAGTAAAACCGAATGTTGGTCCCTAGCCCGAAGTCAAATGAAAAACCAAGATAATTCTCATCGGTGCCGGTTGTGCAAGAGTAATTATCATAATGCCAAAAATAGTTGTCCGAGTTGGTAATGTTGTTTTATCATAGCTGTACAATCCATCGCAAGCTATCTGTGTTATGTTTTGTATGCATGTAATTGTGTTAGTATATATAAGTGTAATATCGTGTTAATCGCATATCACGTGTGAGAGTATTGGTGTCGAGAAAAAAAAAGAATTTCCCGATCAGCGACGCTCGGCTCGCAGAGCGTTCCTTCTAAGATTTTCACTAATCGTTCTAAGACGAGCGTAAAGTGATAATCCGAGTAAGAACGCTCGTAGACGTCCAGGCGTACACCGACGACGAACAGAAGCTCTGGTTCGATAAAAACGATTATCGTTGGTTGCGTGAACGAGGGGTATGCACTCGTCCAGCTTTAGGTATTTACATAGAAACTAACCCTATTTCGCATTATGTACTTCCTTTAAGTTTACCAGTAAATTCTCAGTTTATGCTTGTGATATCAAGGTGTATTTACATACTACTTAATCCGAGGAAATAACGCCCTGTAACGTAAAAATTCTTTATAATAAGAACGACCAATGATCGACCCGCAATCGCTCAACGCGAGACTCGGGGAACGAATCAAGTTTTATTTTTTACCCGCTTTCTTTTTTTTCTTTTTTCTAATATTTCTTTTTGCTGCATTTTGTGCGTTCTATTTTGTTACATTTGTCTTTTTAATACTTTGTATTGTTCTCGTTATACGCGTTTTGGTCCATCATATCATTTTTGGCAATGTTTGGTCGAATATTGTGTTCTATTTTGTTTAAATATTCTTTTTAACGAGACTCTAAATTTCAAGGTCGCGGTCATGAGAGATCATCGAAAGGTTCGACTTCCTCCGGAGTCTTGCGTACGAGGCGGGTTCGATTGTAAAATGTAGCTTTGACGATGAATCCTTTAGTGATCTTTTCCTTTTCTCGTCCCGAATGGTGAAAAAGCCTGTTTACCCGGCGGCTTCTCGGCGTGTGTTTTTTTTTTTACGTTCAACGAAGATGACGACGTTAGGTTAAACTTTCGTAATTGGCGAACAAGGTTCCTTGAAAAAATAAAATTATATATATGCAAATACGCGATTTAATTTCGTTTCCAGATTTATCGCAAATTAAAATCGATCGATTTCCTTCTTTGGATGGGCTTTTTTTCCTGTTTCCTTTGACTTTTTATCATTTTTTCTTCATTTTTAATAGTAAACATTTGTTAAGCGAAATTGTTTCGAAAAATTGATTTTCCTTTTGTAAATATTAATTACTCTGTCAAATAAAAGCGAGAAGATCTAATATTTTCGTTTCCAAATCATGGAAGAGAAACAATGGAAGCGGGAGATAAAATAGATAGTAAAATACGAGCCAGTAAAGAACGAAAAGTCTCATCGAGAGTCTCCGAATGGGGGCCAACAACAACAATAACAATAACAACAACAACGCGGTTCGACGTATGTCACGGGGGAAAAATGATTATTATATTCGGCACGCTACCATTCGTTTCCGCACTCTACTCGTTTCGCGATCATCAGTCAAAGAAACGAAGAAGTCGAACGTCTCCTGACAATGAGTCGAATTTTATCGCGCGTCAATGTCTTTCCGATCCGTCATAATTTTGTTTACATCCTCTTGTCTCTCATATCTTTTTCTTTTTTTTCCGAATAACCAACGTTTCTTTTTTATCCGAGAGAGAGCTTTGATTTGCTTTTATTTATTCTCTTATTATCATCTCCCGCTTCGATTATTGTTACATCCGCGAATGGTTTGCATCGAAAATTCAGTTTTGTTAGTTTGATTCGTTTCGTTTTTATAATTTTAGTCTAGTTCTCATCGAAAGAAATCCCATCGAAAGCACGGACGATCCACGAATTAGTTATTATCTTTGTTTCCGTTAACGTTTGTTTAAATATAAGAAAATTAGATGGAAAGATTTGTTCATTTTACGAGGGAAATGGGTAAGTGAAGAAACATGAATGGGATACAAGGGGTTCTCAAGTATGGTAGTCTTCTGAAAAAGGGCGAAGGGTTGGCCCGAGTTTTCTAAAGTTCGCTCCACGGTTCAAACCTACGGACTTTCTTCGATAAACTTTATCTCATCCTCGTCATCCTCATCTTCGTAGTTTTCTCATCCACTTCTATTCTTATTCGTCTTTATTTTATTCGTTTTTCATTTTTTGTTCAATCTCCTTTCTTCCTAAGTATTGCGAGAACGTAACGGTATATTGCAAGTAAAAGTTCGAAACGACGCAAGTGCTTTACGCGTTCAGATATATTACCCGGAAATAAAAAAATATTTCGCTTATAACGATCACAGGACCTCAGATTACCTGAAGCACGTCATTCTAAAATCTCAAACGCTCCGCATTTTTTTTTTTTTATTATTATTATTATTATTTTCACGCATTCGTTCTTCCTTGATGCTCACGAAGCATTCTCATTTGTTCGATTCTAACATTCGCACCACGTGCGCATCCGTGCGTTTACGCGTCGTTTCCAATTCTCCTAGCCTTTACATTCATCGATGTCTTTCACTCGTTCTTTCTTTCGTTATTGCTTCTGTCCTCGGTTTCTGTCACTCATTCTTTCTTTCTTTCTCATTCTCTCGCACACGCACGCGCTTCTCGTGTATACACTTTTTTCTCGCATTTTTGTATCACTCATTCGTTGTTCATTTTCTCGGCATAAGATAGTTGGAATCGCGTAAAATCGCACAAACGCGTACGCCCCACTCGCACGAAATTTCTCTTTCGCCTAACTATCCTAGTCTCATAGACCCTATATTCATTATTTATAATATTTATATATATAATATATATATAATATTTATCATTTAGTTTTTTTTTTATTTATCTTTTCTTCCCCTTCATCATCATCTCGAGCGTGCTCGCTCACGAAAAACGTTCGTTTGCATTCACGCTCAATTTCATTTTAAAATGTGTGTTTTTTGCGTGCTTATTTTTCTCGGGTGACTTTTTCTCTCTTTCTCATCTTCGCACCCGTGCACTATTCTTATCTTTTCTTTTTTTTTTTTCTTTTTTGTTTCTCTTCACTTATTCCGTCATACTCTTCATACTCTGTATGTATATATAATATATATAATATAACTGTTTGTAATAATTATATTTTGTTTGTCCGCTTACGAGCTAATAGTTTTCGTGCTATCACGAGCACAAGTTGCGCGCATTTTTTCTTCAAAAGTTTACACAGTACGTATGTGTGTGTTTGTGTGTATCTTACCAGTTAAGTGTATTTTCAGTATGTGCTTAATGTGTACAAGTGTATCCTACCAAATGTCTATAAGTGCGTGTGTGATTATATGTATGTGACGCGTTCCCCATCACGCTATATATTAGCATGCAATGTGTGTATGTGTTTATGTGTATGATCATCTGCGGGTGTGTTATCATTAACGTTCTTTCACACTCGTCAGCATTGTTTTTTGGGAACGCGACACGCTCGTTGAGAAACACGTTCGGCCCTCCTATTTTCTTTCTTCTCTTCTCCACGGAGTGTGTTTGTTGTGTGTGTGTCTTTCATGTAACCGTACGCGTACGAATTACGATCGAGGAAAAGTATATGCTTACTCTTTCTCTCTCTCTCTCTCGCGAAAAAACGATTGATCTTTTTTCATCGTTCAGTTGACGCACATAGTATACGTGTATGGTTTCACTCCAACTTTATCCGTCTCTTTCTATTTTTCATCGTGTTTCTATATGTGTATCGCGTGTGATTCGTCTTCTTAAACGTTACGGGAGATTAAGATTAAGGGAACCTTGAGACTGGCTTGTATGTATACATACATACATAGATACATGTACATACATATGTATATATATACATATATAATGACCGATGTCGTGCGGACCTTATATATGTATACATATAAATATACATATAGCTCGGTTTGTTGAACCACGAATCGGACTGGAGAATCACTGCTCAGAGATTTTTCCTGTCCGTCGTTATGGTTCTTGTACTAAAAAAGTCATATAGTACCGTGTCCCGCATCCTCAAAGCGATACGAACGCGACCGACTGCTGAGTGAGTGGTCGTATTAGTACACTACTAGGAGGACAAATCGAACGACGACGGTCTACCACTCATCATTTATTATGGCACGTTTCGGGTGAAGAAAAGGTCGTAACGGTGGCGACGCGTACCGGTGATCCTGGAGGATCTTAAAGAAGAAGAGGATAGTGTCTCTCCTAATTGCGGGAGAAAATCAGCATTCGCGATTAGAGATAAAAGGGGTCGGAAGACGACCCGAGAACGTCCATTTACACGCGAATACACCAATAATAACACAGCACTGTCTACTTTTATTTTCCCTGTCTCTTCTTTTCTGGTGGTGTCGTGTACACGACGTTCTCGATCGAGATCAGTACATTTTTAGGACCGAAATAGGAACAGCGTGTACGACGCAAGGAACATCGTAAAGTGGAAGGCAAGCGTCGCCACTGTTACGTCCAATCGACACCGTGCAACGGATTAGCCGTACGTCTCTTAAAATCGTCCGAAGGTTCTAATAAACCAACGTAAAGTTTCTAGGTCCGATACGGCTAACAAGTTCGTTTCGTTGATCTCGCGATTATTTCGCGAAAACTAACGGACTTGGACTGGTGTTTATTGATAAACATTGTCCGGTCCGTTAACGAAGTCTTTGATTTCAAACTTCCACGCGCTTCTTTCATTTATTTTTCTTTTGCTTTTTCATACTCCTGAGACGTTGAGTAAATTCGTTGATGACCGCACTTGGACGCACCGCTTACGCGTTTTCAGCATTACCGAGCATGTCTTCTACTTTCCTCTTCACACCTCGTTCCTCTTGATGATGTTGTTGCTGCTGCTGCTGCTGCTGCTGATGCTGATGCTGGTGATGGCCCATACCAGACGAGCTTTGCTGCTGATGATTATTTAAAGGAGTCAAACGTTCCGCAACATGTTGTTGTTGATGATGTTGCTGCTGTTGTTGGTTCATACGTTCGACTTGTTGCAAAGCCGTCTGTTCTTGCGTCCAAGGGGTCCACTCGTCTCAGTAGTAACTGAACTTTCATGGTTGCTGGTTGTTCTGTTGGTTGACCACCTGCTGGATGGTAAAGCTCAGGGCGCGTGGGTCACCGTGAAGCCTCAGGGCTTGCTCTAATCGTTGCTCCTGTAGACGTAGAGCTTCCCCTGTTAAAACATATGTTAAAATGCTAATAAAGTTTTAACAGACATGCGTTATCGGAGAGTAGAATTTTATTTAAAGAAGATCCTCGTTCTTGAAAACAATTTGAAAAAATCAAATTTAATTTGTTTCTTCTGTTTTTTAATTATTCTTATTATATGTGGTAACTTACCGAACTCCGGTGACAAGCTGTCTTGTTGAGACATTTGTTGATTCGCATGATGTCCTGGTATACCGGAAGATCCGCCGCCATTATGCTGAGTTAGATGATGTCTCACATCTCCCCCAACCGCTGAACTTGCCGCTGCGGCTGCTGCCTGCGACACCTAATTCAAATCGATAATAAAGTTATTATTGTATGATTAAAGGTGTTTATCAATGTAACCACAACATGTGTATATCTGTCTAAGCTAATATGTCTTCAAACGTAATTCATGAGTAGATAAAGTTACTATCAAATATTTCGAATTGATAAATAGCTTTTAGAATTAGATTTTCATCGTAATATAATTAGATAATTAATCAAAGACGGGCTTACCGCTAGCCGAAGGGCGGCTTCAGCTTGGGAACGTAACAAAGCTTCCGCTTGATGCATTCTCAATGCTTGTTCAGGTCCGGTTGCCTGGACACCTTGCTGTTGAGACCCAGCTGATCCTTGAGCACTGCCGCTCATGTCTCCGTTGTTGCCCATTCTCATGGCTGCTGCTAGCGACGCCATGTCTACGGGCGACAAATTCGGCGACACCGAGTTTTGCAAACCTACGAATGAAGAAGATATTGTCGAATTTTAGAACGACATCTTTCAATAATATAATATGTACGAAGTGTGACCACATTAAAATCGCGGGCAGAAGAAGGGGGACAGAAAGATTGTATGCAGTCTTATTCTTTCTAAACACGTCTCGTAAAAAGGTTAAAAAGTGTCGTTTTAAAATCTCGTAGTATTACAATTTGAAACATGTACTTAAGTATTTATTAAATATATATATAGAGAGAGAGAGGTATATATATAAATATAATGTACTTTCTTCGTCATTCGTGAATGGGTGGCCAGTGAAAGTTTTATTTATTCGGAAGAGTAATAATCTGACTTGGTATGAACGAGTCTCGGCGTCGAAAAAAATATTCTTACGAAGAAGACAGCGATATATTACATTGATACGTTCTCGTACTCGCCGTGCACAAGATAGTTTTCGGTAGTAGGAAACACTGCGATCCGATCGACTGCGTTACGTCATAAGGCAAGTTCGAGTCGATCAAATCGCGGACTCCATTTTGCGGAAAAATTGAGCAGGAGGCGAGAACGTGACGCGTTAACCGAATAAAATGAGATATACGATACGAAGGTTTGTTGATATGTGTCGGTTTTAATCGGCACGTCTAAGAACGGGCGAAGCGATTTTGCTTAGGCATAGATTAGTGTTATTAAGCGTCGCTATAATTAATTACGTTCGATGGCATGAGTGCCAGTAACGCCGACACGACGACAGCGACGCGGAAAAACATCATTGTAAATCAATCTTTATCGGTATAATTGGAACGGAGCTATCGTTTCTCCTCTCCCGGATGGCGTTGTCTCGCGTTGTCCGATAAAGTATAATAACGCCGTCGACGTCCTTGAAGAAAACGCAAAACTATTGCGTTTTAACGCAATACGTATATGTATAATATGTAATATGTATATATGTGCTTTCGCTCGTTCAGCAATAAAAGAACGTTTCGATTCGAAAAGCGAATCCTGTCCGTTTCTTGGAGTTGTTTTCTCACCCGCTGACACGGCGGCGGCCATGACGGCCATGCGTTGTTGTTGCGATTGCATCTCGTCGTGATACTGTTGCGCGGAACCCGGCTGACTGCCCGCTCTCAACATTTCACTCAGCTTGTTACCGCTGGGTCCTGGCGATGCCATGTTGTTGTTGTTGTTATTGTTGTTGTTGTTCAATAGACCAGTGCCTGCGCAGAAATCTACTCTCGTTAGTATGCTCGTGCGAGACCGCTTGGCTCTTACATCGCTAATTATTTATTCATTTTATAATAATAAACGAAGCGATCGAGCTCTTTGACGGATATTAATTCGACGTACAACGATGGGACCGTAGCCGTGTGTCTTGCATTAGATTATATTATTTATGAACGATTACATATCTATTGACGTTCATTTAAATTCATTTGACAAATGGAATGAAAAAGTTTCATTAAGTCTACATATTATATATATATATACATATATATATATACTGTCACAGACAATTTCATAAATTGTTTCTAATCAATTAAATTGGAAATACGAAAATTGTAATACACGGATACGGCACCGAGCAATGATCGATTCCTTCAGGGCGCAAAACCAATAGTCGGAGCGTACCAGGTTCACTTCCGGCCGAAGATAGCCGTCCGTTTCCACTGCTGCTATCGGAGTGGGCCGAAGGCGATGGGCACATCGGTGGTTGCTGCAAATTTTGTGGTCCTCCAGATTGACCTCCCAAAACACCTAGCCCCGCACCTGAACGGTATTCGATCAATGAGAATGCATCGTGTACATCGTCCCTCGCTTAATTATCATTCAAATTTCATATTTCCAAAAAAAATTTGATTCACGTTGTTATACCTAGACTCGAACTCGCGAGAATTTCCCTTTCTCTCCTATCGGCCGCCGCGCGACTCAACACGTATTGCGCTGCAAACTGATGTTTCGGATCCATCCTCATATGTTCCATATGACTCAATAAACCTGCGATCAAATATCAACTAATCGTTAGGCTGCGCTTTGTTCATTTGCTTTTAAACGAATAACTTTTCAATGTGAACATAAATAAGAAGATACATTAACGTAGATCCGTTAGCGCAATGATTGTATCCGAAAAGCCTTTAGGTTGAAAGATAAGAAAAAATCGAAGGAAAATAATGTAGCTGCTTATCGCGAGATCGATTAGGCTCTCGAGAACACTTATCAACGCTAACGGAGATACCGAATAATATTTTCCTGTCAAATAAAGATGCACTTACCGCTCTCATGAGTGAAGACCGCTTGACACACCGAGCACGGCCACATTCTGAGGCTCGTGCTAAGTTGACTGGTCTCAGGATGGCAGGCTAGATGCTTCCTAAGGCTACCCTCGTTGACGTAGTGCTTTCCGCACACCGGGCAAGGGTGGTTGGCCGTCCGTCGCTTCGCTAGGTAAACCCCGGCAACGGAGGTTGTGCAGTCAGCGGAGGGAACAATAGGGCGAGACAATTTCAAGGTCAATGCCAAGCAGGATAAAGCGTCCCAAGGAACGAAAGCATCATCATCATCACCACCATATCATAATCATCACCATAATTATCATCACCATTATTATCTCATGATCGTCATGATCAATATCATCGGCATCACCGTATCAATTCATCGTGTCGTCGTCGTCATCATCATCATCATCATCATCATCATCATCATCATCATCATCATCATCATCATTGACATCATTATGAATCATTAAGCATATTTACATATATATATATATATATCTTTCTCTGTCTTCTCTTATCGTTCATTTCGACATCACGATCTTTCGATAGTTCGCTAGCATCGGTCAACGTGGCCCGCGGTTGACTTTGTTCCTTCTTCTCTCTCCTTCATCCCATCTCATCCTCACGCACTCACGTGCACGCGCGTGCACGCACGGCGCTTACGTACGCGTTCCGGGCGACCTCGAAGGCGAAGGGATAGTCCTTGCAGACGCGAATGTCCAAGGATCAGGAGAGCACTGACCTCGGACACGTTGCTCGCTGCCTACCCGTTGAGAATCCCTTTCACGAGCGAGGTCGTCGGACCAAAATCCAAGAAACGCGGACGCGCGCGCGCACGCGAACGCGCATGCGCTCCGATCAAACGACGCGAACGCGCAGAGATAATATCATCCTCATGAAGATTTATATCCTTTTTTTTTGTTTCTTTTTCTTTTTCTCTTTCTTTTTCTATTTTTCTTTCATTTCTTTAGTTTTGCTCTTCCTTTTTCTATTCTTTCAAAATAAAGTCCAAAAATTTGGGTAATATCTTTTTCGATGATTTTCTTTTTCATTTTTTTGGATTTAATTTCAATGCGCGTTCGCGATGTACAAAGCACTAACGAGCACACAAAAAAGGCGCGCACAGAGGTCGAACGAGACACCCTCGAAGCACCGAAAGAAGACACATGTGTGTTTGTATATTAGTTAAGAACCCAAATATTAGTCGGTGAGTGTGCCAAGTGCTACACCCCTCTTCTGCCCAGCGAAATATTACGAAGAAATGACAGGACAACGTATGCATAATTTGCCCGCGCCAAAAGCAATTTTTTTCAGGGGGTGGGGGATATATGAGGCGTACTTAAAGACTAAAGACGAACCACCCCTCGTGTCTCGACGAGTGGTTGCTCCACCTCTCTTAGCCTTACTTACGGTTTTACGACATCGTTACGCGTATATATTCACTTTTGTCTCTCTTTCTTTCTCCTTTATCCTCCATTTATATTTATATCTTTATATCTATTTTTCTCTATTTCTCTCTCTCTCTCTCTCTCTCTCTCTCTCTCTTCTTCTACCTTTTCACAGTTTTCCACCCCGAAATCGCGTAAGGTGAGGTTAGAAGCATCACTTTAAATACCCAGCCGAATTAATCGCAATGTACACGAAGGAACGAATATTATAAGACTTGACATGAATTTATAATACTAGATACATTTAATTTCAAAAAGAATAAAACAATAAATTCGTTCCTATCGCGGATCAATGCGAAATGATAGAGTAGATAGAAGAACGTTGTACGTGTGTACGAGGAAAGTATAGTGAAGAGTCGTGCTTGTAAAATAAAAGACATGGAATTGTAAACAGGTCTAATAATTAGGGTGGAACCCGAAGCGAGAGAGAGAGAGAGAGAGAGTGAGAGAGAGGTATAAGAACAACTAGGAGGAAATGAATGAATAAGTTTGAGAAAGAAAGTGAGAGACGTAAAGTGAGACGCTATAATCTCGACATTGGTCTGTCGCGTCGTTTCGATACTTACTAGCAACGCCGGAGGCATTCGGATCCTTGTGGGTGTGCTTCATGTGCTCCATCAGAGCCTCGCCACCGAGGAAGAGTTTGTGGCAGACAGGACAGCTGGTTGCATTCGGGCCGCCGATCAGGGCGGCGTGTTGCTGGAACACAACACGCTGTTGCAACTCCTTTTTTGGGGGGCCAGAAGAAGAAGAAGAACCGGAAGCAGGCACACGCGGCGCACCCGGTAGAGAGCCGACCCAGAGAATACCACCACAGAGTTGCGAACCAGAAGCGCAGGACAGGCAGGGCACAGAACAGAACGATTACCGGTAAGAGTTAAGGCACCAATTAACTACCGCCGCCATAATACCCATCACCATAATAGTCGCACCACCACCACCACCATCGCGATATCTACGGCCTTTGCGAGAATCTTTAAATATTATCATCTATTTAATAATTCATTGTGTATTTTATATAGATCATAGAGATCTTTTTCTTTTGATAAAGGTCGTCCTAAGAGTGTATAAGGAGAACGTACGGAACGAATAATCGTCGGACAACGATTTACCGTTATGCGTAGTATTTACTCGCCTCGAGGAAGATTTTCTACCTTCCGAGTGATCGTAATTACGTGGCATTCGTAAAGTTGATTTCATGGTAATTTTTTCTTTTTTTTTTTTTAGGATAAAATAATTTGTTTCTTGGTGCTAAGATAACGTTACACACTGGCATTTCTTTTTTTCTTCTCTTTTTACGATATACCTATGCAGTGTAATTTCTACGATTATTTCTCGCAAAGGGAAAAGAACGCGCGATTCCAGAAATAAGAAAAAGAAAAAGAAAAAGAAAAAGAAAAGAAAAGTATTACTAAAGCATTGTATGAAGATTACCACCGCGAGACCAGACAGTCGAACGTTAACGAAGCGTGGGGCTTGGAGAACGATCGGAGTATGGCTCCATTCGTAATCAGAACTATTATCTAATCTCTTTGCTATAATATTCATCTTCGAATTCAACGTGCATATATAATATAGGCATATATAGTAATCAATAGGAAAATTGTCAAAACAAAGGAACCACCTCTTGACGGCGATGACGTTCCTCCGATCGACCTCACTAAAAACCTCACCAATAAACGGTATGATAGAAAAAAGCATAAAAATCGATTAAAACGTGTAGAGCATCTACGGATATATCGATAATTTTCTACGAACATGTGACCATCGTCAGAATTATTCGTAAGAATCAATTTATCCTGAAGTAACCAATCTATTCGGGAATATATGTTGTTTTTTTTTTTATATCTAATCGTCAACTCTTTAATTTTGCCTTCTCACGATGGGCCATGTTATTAATCTATTATTAATAACATTAAAATGACTAAAGAGTGAATGAAAATTCGACGTCCTCGCTATCAGCTTAATGCATTTCTTTTACGCGGTCTCGTATTAAAAAAAAAAAAAACAGTTTCGCGGTCGTATGATTCTTTTTTTTCCCGACCGCCCCCCCTTCCTCCTCCCCTTATTTCTCATCTCTTTCTATCTTTCTTTCTCTTGCATATACGAAGGTCAGTTACACTCACATGAGGCGGTAAAAGAGGGGTATGCGCCCGAGGAAAAACATGGCGGCCAACCTTGTACGAAAGACTGCTTAAAGCGGAGGAGAAAAGAGAAAGAAGAAGAAGAAGAATAACGCAGCCAAAGGAGGAGGCGGACAGGAAAGGCTAAAACGAGACAAGACGGCAATGACCCGAAACTTTTGGTGCAGTCATACACTCTATCTCCTTTCTTATTTTTTCCTTTCCGTCCTTCCATCCTTCCTTCCTTCCTTCTTTTAACAACATCGTATTCTTCATTGCTACTTTCTCCAATCGAAAGAAGAATTTAAAAAAGAAAATTACTCTCGCGTATCTCTTCGTTATATATTTTCATATTATACACATAAAATAAATGTTGCATACGCGATAATCAAGCGAATTTAAAGATGGAAGAAATCTTTTGTCATCGATTAGATTAACCAAAATTCTAAATGATTCGTCAAGAGAGAGTGTGTGTGTGTAAGAGTTAAGTGAGAAAATGCAATTATTCCTTCTATCTAATGGTAATTCGATAATTCGACGATAATGTTTCACTCGGTTCCTCACTATTAAGAAGATTTGTTCGATCGTGATTCTAATTATCGCTAATTTGAAGGAAATAGAAAGATAGGTAATAGGATGTAGATAAAGAGGAATGGGATGGTATACGATCGAAGAATTAGTTTAGAATGTGAGCCGAAAGAAACGTGTTATCCGTCGGCCCGTGTTTTCGATCCCGGACCTAGGCTAAACCCGGACGAACAAGTGGATGAGAAGAAAATAAGTAAGAGGTCGTCGTTGCCAGGAGCATCTAAAACGGGACTGAACGGCAATGACCTTAATGTTTCGGGGGCCTCCTTTCTTTTTTATCTCTCCAAGCTGTTCTTTTTTATCTCCCACCCCTCCCCACTCCTAACCCTCATTCTTTTCAATTTATTTCTATCTTTTTTTCCTACTACTCCCCGCTTCCTCCACCACCACCACCACCACTCTTCTTCCTACTGAAGTTTAATCCTTCTTCAGAGAGTGCGTTCTTTGGCTAGTCTTCTCGTCTCCTTCGTTGGTTTTTTTTTGTCCCGGACCTAAGGCAACTTCTATCGTCTTGAGTCGAAAGAAGAGAATGACGAAGAAGAAGAAGAAGAAAGAGGTGGAGGAGGTGGAGGAGGAGGAGGAGGAGGACTACTGCGACGCTGGCCGCCGTTGCTGCCGCCGACGCTGGAGCTGCCGCATGCAAGTTATTCTCGGAGGGAGGCTGCGGTCCGTAGGTTCGACGCCCCGACCTGGCCCAACTGGAAAAAACCGGTTTCTTCGCTCGTGCTCTTCCTTTTTTGCCTGCATCCTCGCTTTTTGCGCCGCTCTCGAGTGCCTCGACTTATATCTTTTTTCCCTCTCTGTCTCTTTCTCTCTCTCTCTCTCTCTCTCTCTCTCTCTCTTTCTTGCTGTTTCTTCTTCTTCTTCTTCTTCTACTTCGTTCCTGGCACACAGTATCTCGCCTCTCTTCGTCCTTTTCTTTCGATTCCACTTCATCCTCCTTCCCACACCTCCTTCTCAAATACTTTTTTTTTTTTCTCTTTTTTCTCCTTTTCTTTTTCTTCTTCTTATCCTCTTCCTCCTCCCACCCTCCTCTCATCCTCTCTTCCTCTTGCGAGATCTCGCTTCATCGTTCTTTTCCAGCATCAGACTGAGGCTAAGCGTAGCGTGGGCGAATACTCCGAAGGAGTTTATGATTCGCCGTGACCAGATTCATCTTTCTCTTTCTCCATTTTTTCTCTCTCTCTCTCTCTCTCTCTCTCTCTCTCCGGACAGTTTCTTGGCTACGGACGGTCTGTTACACCGAAACTACTATATCTAATTTTCAATAGGTTAACGCGCGCACACGATTTCATACCGTTTTCGAATCGATGAAATCAAATTTCCTCCTCCTCCCCGTTCCCTCCTCTCCTTTTTACCCCGACTTCCACCATTTCCCTTCCTCATCTTTGATATAAATTTCACAGCGACCGTGTCATAAAACTCGATGAAAGTTTTCAGCTTACAACTCGACAATTTTGCTCGGTAATAATTTATCCTTGGTTCTCTCTATCTATCTCTCTCTTTCTTTATTTTTTTCTCTCTCTCTCTCTCTCTCTCTCTCTCTCTGTTTCTTTCTCTTTCAATTATTCTTTTCGAATTATCGAGTTTCCGTTGTAGAGTTTCGACGAGAAAGATCTCGCTCAAAGATTATCGTTTCGAATTCTTCGAGGCCCAATGCCTAGGGGTCTGGGCCAGGGAGTGGCATAAAAAGGAAGTGGGTGTGAGCACACGCGTAGCGGTGCGTGACGCCGAGTTCTATGTAGCCATTTTGTGTTCCACAGAGAAGGGACCGTCTTTGATCAACCGGTTAGATTTTTTTTATTTAATCGCTGTGACACCTTTGGATCATCGAAAAAAGATAAACCCTGTATTTATTCTTATCGCTGACACAACAAGACATCTGTTTGGGTTATTCGAGTTTCACTGATTCCTTTTTGTCCATTTTATTATTTCCTTATTCTATCGGCTGATAATCATCCATTTGTTTAATGGATTACTTCCGTAACATCTCGTTACTTATTTTAATTCATAAATAATAATATATCGAGAAATATACGAATAAAATATGTTGAACTTATATAAATGAAGTTGTTTAATATTTCTATTTGTACAGCGCAATTGCGTTGTTCACATTTCATATAATAAAATATCAGAACATTAAGTTATATTGCACTATTGTAGTATTCGGGTTTTATTGTATATTTTTAGACGAATCAATAACAACAAAATGTTATGGTGCTTCTTTTCGAAAAGATTTGTTCAAAAATAAATTTGTGATAATCAAATGGTTAAACCATTACGAGAAGATTGAATTTTTCCTTCGGTAAGCCTTTATCTTGATATAAATCGGATAATAATATAATTTAATTTTAATGAAATTTAATATAAAAATAGATATTATAATAAATAATAATTGATAATGTAATATGTAAAGAGAAGATAAATGAAAAATCAAAGGAAAGCAATTCGCGACGATTCTCTATCTTTTCATTGGACGGGCCGATAAAGAGCCAAGGCCGTTCTCGCGGCGCGCAATTCTTTTCTCGTTGTTGTTCCTTCTTTTTCTCTGTCTCCTTTCCTTGGCTTTTTTAGTCGCACTCGCGAGGTCGCGAGCCTCGCCAGCAGACAACCTTCGCACGATTCTTCGACTCCGTTGCGCTCGAACAGAACAAGCGCCTGCGAATGATATTCTTTCGATCGCAGCATCTCTTTTTCTTCTTCCTAACCCCTTCATCTTTTATTTCGTCTTATCAATTTTTATTCAATTCTCTATATTTATTATTCTATTTCCTTTTTTTTCTCATTTTCTCTCTCTCCTTTGTAACATTTGTCCATAGAGTTCTTTTAAAATAAATTTCACAATCGATAAAATGAAACAAATATATCGAATTGTTCCTTTTTCTCTTTTATGGAATTATGAATGATTCGAAACATGTCATCGAACAATTCGTAATTAAATTTTATTCATCATCTTTTCGATAATTTATTTCTCTCTCTCTCTCTCTATCTCTCTCTTTCTTCTTTTCACTTTGT